TCCACCTTGTCATGGCGTCGTTCCGTACACTCCTTGTGTTGGGTGAGGATTTGTTTACGTTTGTTGTGCTTATGTGTCTGTGTTAGTTCATTCGTGTATTTTTTTTTATTCAGGTGTTCATTCCGGTTTGTATTGAGATACTGATAATTATATGTGAGTAATTTCCTTTACAATATCTCTCTGTATCTGAATCATCTATTATCAGGTAATATGAAAAATGACTGATGTAAATTATTATCATCTGTTACAGGCTTGGCAGTTCAGCTGTGCCCCTCCCAATCCCACGACTCTTTAGAAATACATTATGAACTGCAGCCTCCCAAGTATGAATATCAACCTCCCAAAGAGTACGACGCTCAGGAACCTTCTACGATATACGACTTTCAGGAAGTGTTTAAGAAAGACGACTATCAGGAACCTGTCAAGGGATACAACTACCAGGAACCTCACAAGAGAGACGACTATCAGGAACCTCTGCTAGTCTCTTATCAAGAACCTCCGAAGACATACCAAGAAGAAAGCACGAAGATCTCTTACCAGGCACCTGTTGAGACATATAAGGAACCACCACAAACCTCCTACGAAGAACCATCCAAGGCGTATGATTATCTGGAACCTTCCAAGGCATTCAACTACCAAGAACCTTCTAAGAAGGCCGATTACCAGGAACCTGTAATAGTCTCCTACCAAGAGCCTCCGAAGACCTCATACAAGGAGCCCTCCAAGAAGGACGGATACCAAGACCCTGTGAAAACTTCCTCAGAGGAATCTTCCCAGGAGTATAACTATCAGGAACCTACAAAGACGTATGAGTACCAGGAACCTCAAAAGAAGGATGACTACCAGGAGCCTGCAAAGACGTACGAGTACCAGGAACCTCAAAAGAAGATTGACTACCAGGAGCCTGCAAAGACGTACGAGTACCAGGAACCTCAAAAGAAGATTGACTACCAGGAGCCTGCAAAGATGTACGAGTACCAGGAACCTCAAAAGAAGATTGACTACCAGGAGCCTGCAAAGACGTACGAGTACCAGGAACGTCAAAAGAAGATTGACTACCAGGAGCCTGCAAAGACGTACGAGTACCAGGAACCTCAAAAGAAGATTGACTACCAGGAACCTGCAAAGACGTACGAGTACCAGGAACCTCAAAAGAAGGATGACTACCAGGAGCCTGCAAAGACGTATGACTACCAGGAACCTCAAAAGAAGGATGACTACCAAGAACCTTCCAAGACCTATGGCGGAGAGGAAGCCTATAGGGACGACTACCATGAACCCTCCAAAACATACAGTTATCAGGAACCCTCTAAGGCATTCGTCCACCAGAAATCTACGAAAGCTGAGTACCAGAAATCACTTGACTATAAATACAAGGAACCTTCTTATGATTCTCGGGAACATGACGCAGCTTACCTGGCTTCGCTGTTCATCAACATCCCGGGTGGAGGCGTGCCAGGAAAGGATTACCCAATACTAGCTACCGTGCCGTACACTGGCTTTTCATGTGATGGTTTGGAGTACCCAGGCCACTATGCAGACTACAGGGCACGATGCCAAGTGTATCATATTTGCCAGAAAGATGGGCGCCACAGTTCTTTCTTGTGCCCTAACGGGACCGTATTCAGCCAGTGGTATTCAGTGTGTGACTGGTGGTTTAACGTAGACTGCGATGGTGCTCAAACCTGGTTTGTATATACCAGGAATGGAGTCATTTTAGGGAAGGACGCAGATTCTTCTCGTCCAGCGGGAGCGTCTAGTCGCCTGCCCCCAAAACCTCGCATCGGTCGCGTGTCCAAAGGTCTTGTGACCTCTGGGGATTATGTGCCCCCTGTGGAATCGTCTAAGGAATCCTATTCGGCCGAAGAATACGACAAGAGTGTTCCTACCCCGATTATCTATGAAGTGCCTCTTGTATCTCATAGTTCTTCCTCAGAATATGCCGTGGAATATAAACAGAGTGCCACTACGGAGCCCCATAGGAATTATGAACATGACTCGTCAGAAGACAGTTACGAGACAGGAACTCAAAGGAATCCCCTGGGTACGAGCCAAAAATCCTACACCTCAAAGCCCCGCGTCAACAACTTCGCCAGACGGGTCGTGATCAGTGCACGAAACAAAGCCGACGCAAAAAAGCCCACAAGCCGATACGTTACCGACGTCGACTCGAACGAATACGACGTCTCCACGACAGACGTCTCCCACTTCAGGCAGGGGCACGTGAAGCCTTTATTCCGAGACTCCGTCCGGCGCTTCGAAACCAAAAGAACCACGCTTGTGCAGAGTCCTCGACTTCCTCCTCCTGAACGAAGCCTAATCACCCTCTACAGGAATCCACAGTAACGTACTTTGCAAACATTCCTAGCGTATGGGGCTGAAAGGATTAATAGTATACTATGCTGTGTTGCCTGATACAAAGTCACAATTTCTTCTTAGTGCATTATATATAGAAGAAAAGCAAAAGAAAAAAAAAGAAAAAGGAGAAAGCGATTCAGACACTGTTGGTTGTCTTAACAAAGCTGTGTTCTGAATGCATTTTCTCTTTGCTTATTTAATGAGTGCAGGTTCCTATCAGTACAGGCCATTTATTCTTGTAAATTGAAAATAAATACACCAAAACTAGTATAACCTGTCGTTTCTCATTATGGTTCCACGTTTTTGATAAAGTTGATAATTTATGTTGCGTTCGTAGATAAGTATTTTAGGTAGTTCTATTCTTCACTTATTTTACAAGGATATATATAATTATGTCAGATTATTCGACATCCATAATCAGCTTCATTATGTTAATAGCACAATGACTGCCACTATATAAATATTGATGTGCTTGTGCTTGTACTATATGTATACGCAATATGGCTATACACATAAACGTGCACATCCATGAATCTATCTAAGGCTTATACATTAATTTACTATCTATCCACATAAATCACACACATACATATATGTATATGTGTGTATACACAAACCTATCGATCTATGTAGACATACATATATGTATGTATGAATATATATATATATATATATATATATATATATATATATATATATATATATATATATATATATATATATATATATATATATATATATATATATATATATATATATATATATATATATATATATATATATATATATATATATATATATATATATATATATATATATATATATATATATATATATATATATATATATATATATATATATATATATATATATATATATATATATATATATATATATATATATATATATATATATATATATATATATATATATATATATATATATATATATATATATATATATATATATATATATATATATATATATATATATATATATATATATATATATATATATATATATATATATATATATATATATATATATATATATATATATATATATATATATATATATATATATATATATATATATATATATATATATATATATATATATATATATATATATATATATATATATATATATATATACATTTATATATTGATATATATTCATATATAAATACATCATTTAGTTTCAGAAAGAACGCCGTTTTCATTGTCTGTGAAATATACTTTTACTACGTTTTACAGTTATATTGGTTGATCTGAGAAACTCGAATATACTGGCATCATATTTATTGCCTCACTCGCTGATTTAAATCTGAATGAAATTAAATAAATCGCAAGTGAGATTTAGCCATTTTTTTAAAACCCTGATCTGTGCTACATATTATTATTTGTATTCTAGCAATCATTTATTAGACATTACTTTCAAATGCTTCCTTTGCCCAAGGAACACCGCCAAAAAGGCCTCCTCCCTTACGTTGTCCCCCGGACCTCAGAGTCCACGCCTCCAGCCTAGACGTCCGTACAGCCAAGGACTCCATCCTGGCCTCCGTCCCCGACACCGGCTTCTCGTGCGAGGAACAGCAGTTCCCAGGCTACTATGCTGACACCGCCCCGGAGGCCGGCTGCCAAGTGTTCCACATCTGCCAGTTCGACGGCCGCCAGGACTCCTTCCTGTGCCCCAGCGGCACCATCTTCAACCAGCAGTACTTCGTCTGCGACTGGTGGTTCAACGCTGAATGATTACGCGTAGTTGTTTGGTTTCCACGCCGCTTTAACGTATAGGATTTGTCGTCATAAAGTAGATGGTTTAAAAGTAATAGGTAAGGTGACACTGACATGCATTAAAGTAATCACCATAGAAAAATGTAGAATTTCAAGCGAACCGAATGAGTAAACACCTAAACATCTAAAGTGTCAGTAAGGTAACAAAATAACTATCCTAGTAAATGGTATATATATATATATATATATATATATTATATATATATATATATATATATACACATATATTTTGTAAACCGAAATAAAACGAAACAACTCATGTGCTCCTAAAATACAACACCTCCTCTATTAAACAAACAAACAAATGAAATAAAATCTTGCAAGGCACAGCAGACGGGCCCCATGCCACACATCCGGTCATTCACACGCGCTATGCAATTTAAGTACTTGGTGTTTCCGGGAAGTTAATAAAACACATTTAGTTATTTAAGGTGGGGTGTGTTCTGTTCTGAGGAATTTAGAGTTGTTTACCCTACAGCCAACAAAATAGATAAATGAACAGTACTCCATAAGTATATAATTTTCTGAAATATGCAGATATGCTTGTGATCAGTATAGAAAGGTATGAATTGGAAATTAATATTGGGGAAGGAATTTGCAAATAAAGATGCTACTTTAATGTTTGGTAAAGAAAAAAACAAAAACAATTATGCTGTCCAATTTCCTCATCCTGATAAACGTTTTATTATATTTTCATATAATAAGCAAAGATCCAGGATAAGTCATTCATATTTCACATCAACCACCAAAAAACAAAAAACAAAAAAAAAAAAAAAAAAAAAAAAAATACACTGTCACCGGTATATACTAGTCACTCGCATTCCGAAGATACACTCACAGATTCTGAACAAGCCTAAGAAGGAGACACTGCATGTTAATTTTTCCCTGTGCCTCTACCTCACTCGAAGAACCATGCCCCTTGTCTTTTAAAGCATTTTCCTGAACAGTGCACCTATGAGAACTATAAGTTTGTTGATAAGCCTGTGTTAGGAATGTAGAGTTTATGAAGGGACATGAAGGCGAAGTGAATGTGGTGAATGGTGATAGTGTAGTATAGTGATCACTGATTGGTGATGGTGATTATTGTGATAAGCAGGATAATGATAGGGAGAGATATTTCTATAGGCGATGGTGATGATGATAAAGCTTTTCAAAGGAGTCTATGACGGTGACTGATAAGATAGCCAAGGATGATAATGACAAGAGATAAGAAAATAATGGTAAAGGGGAAGGACGAAGACAGGGGAAGAAGTCTGGACGTTGGTGTAGACAAAGAAGGACAATGACGGTGTTCGGTAATAAAAAAAAGTGATGATGAATAGACAAATCGATTTGCAAAAGATTATGATGGTGACATAAATAATGACTGTAACTATCAGTGATTAATGATGAATTTGCATTTATTACACAACGGTTATTTAGGAAAATTCCACTGAAGAGGTTAAATTGAGTGGGTGGTAAGTACTTTTCTCTCGAGTTGAATTAACATTACAGATATTCTTTTTCTTTATAAACCTGATAGTACTTATATTTAGTTGTATTTGATAAGAAAATATGTGCTAGTTTTCACTTCTGGTCAACCTCTTAAAATCACTGATAATGTCCATTCCTTTGAAGGGAAAATATATTTCGATTTGCCATAATGCTCACAAAACAATTTGAAACTTGGAGCATAAAAAAAGATAAAATAATAAAGATAACGAAAGGCTAATCTGGAGAAATAAAACAAACGCAGCAATACAACGGTAATTAGAACCAGCGATCCGTTTTCTTTCGGCGACAAAGAAAACGAAAGAGGAATCGCAAAGACAGTTGGTGACTCAGATTTTTGTCCCGCGTGGGGGGGGGGGGGGGGATCAGACGCCGGAAGCAGTAGATAAATGTGGGGCGTTTTGTATGTGTACGCTGTATTGGTGTGGGTGGCATGTGTGTAGACTATATGCACACGCACAGAAACATACACACACATATATACATATGTATGTATGTATTTATGTATATATATGTACATACATACATAAATACATATATTCTCATCTGGCTGTCTTGCTAGATGAAAAATACATACACATATCAATGTATCTATATGTATATTCATATATGTATACACATATATATCTATACATATATACATATATAGGTGTATGCGTGTGTGTGTGTATGTATATATATATGTGTGTGTATATACATACATAAATAAATATATATATACACATAAATATGTGTATATATACATATACATATATATACATATATATACGCATATGCATATATATACATATATATGTATATATATACGTATATACATATACACAAAAACACACACATCTATATATATGCACACATATACATAATCTATATCTATATCTATCTATATATCTATATGTATATAACACACACACACATATGCATATATATCATACACACACATATATATATACATACATGCATACATACATATACACAATGTGTATCTATATATGATTATATATATACTTTATATACATATATACTATAGATATATTACATTTTTCTATATATACGTAATATATATACACACATGCATGTATATATATACATACATTTATATACACTCATATATACATATATATACACATGTATATAAATATGTATTTATGCTAGCGTACATGAAAGAGAACAAGAGAAACTCGCGAGTGACCGCGCCAGAACACGCTCTCTTGCTGCTCCTAATGACTGGCCGCGGCGGTGCTGCAACCCAGGCCGTGACCTTGGCTGCGTCGGGTAAAAGGTCAGCCGTGAAGAAGTATAAAGCTCGCCAGCACTGTCAGCTGGCATCACTCCCAGCTGGCTCTCGTCTGCTTCTCCTCCGGCTCTCGCTCTCTCGCTCTCCGTCCGCGATGGCGATGTCTCTGTTGGTCGTCCTCGCCGGTGGGTTCATTCGGGCTGCCTCCTCGGCTTATCTTATTTCTGCTTCTCTACTTCTTTTGGGTTTGGCATCGATATTTTTATTTAGTTTGCATTATTGACGATTGTTCATTTCCAGCTCTTTTGGGCGCTTCCTACGCCCAAGTAGGATACAACGTGCCAACTCCCAATGGGCCCGGATATTCCTACGGCGCCCCGGACCTCCAGGCGGCCGCCTCCAGTTTCGACGTCGCCGCGGCCGAGGACCCCATCGCCGCCCTGGCCGCCAACATCCCCGGCGGAGGCGTCCCTGGCGAGGACTACCCCATCCTGGCCTCCGTCCCCGACACCGGCTTCTCCTGCGAGGAACAGGAAGTTCCCAGGCTACTATGCTGACACCGCCCCGGAGGCCGGCTGCCAAGTGTTCCACATCTGCCAGTTCGACGGCCGCCACGACTCCTTCCTGTGCCCCAACGGCACCATCTTCAACCAGCAGTACTTCGTGTGCGACTGGTGGTTCAACGTGGACTGCGCCGCGTCCGAGCAGTTCGTCAGTCTCAACGCCGACATCGGGAAGGTCCCCGACAACGCGGCCGCCGCCTCCGACGCCTCCCTCGCCACCTCCTACAGCGCCCCTCAGGCTCAGGCCTCAGCTCAGGTCCCCGTGCAGGCTCCCAACCAGTTCTACGGCGCTCCCAATGGCTTCTAGGATTGTTCATTCTTTGGCACCTCGATTATCTAGAGGACTAGTTATTTATGTAAAAGCACTATTTAATTTTTCATTTTCATCATAGTTATAATTATCTTATCTCTATTTTTCTTATCATTATTTATCTATTATATTCTACTTGCACAATATAAAACAAACTGTTGACGCAACTTTCCTTCCAAACGACACCCAAGCAGTTCAAGTGAAATATCCATGGAATGTCATGTCAAGTGACAATATACATATATACTTATATATTTACACACACACGCACACGCAAACACACACATATATTCATACATATACATACTTCGGCATCTTTATACTCAAGGATTTACGTATTTACATATTTTCTAAAGAAAAAATCAACATTAACAAAAATGAAAATAAGGATTATCTCATGTGATTCCTTCTTACGATCGACTACTTACCTATAATAAAAGTGCTATGAATATTTAATAATAAAGGTATAACAACACCAAAGAGAAAGAAAGAAATCCTGCACAAAAAAACATAAAATCCGAAAAAATCCATTGTTAAAGTGAGATCCAAGTTCATTATTCGCGAAAAAAATGTATTCAGAAAATGCAGTGAATAATTAAAAGACTGGATGGCTACCACTTTTGTATCTTTGAAAAATTAAAAGAAGATGGGATGGTTACCACTTTTTTGATGAGTATTAATATTTGAGGCACTACATTAAACTATGAAGCCATCCGAATAGTCACACAACAGCTGTTTGGTGATATTTTACATAACAGGACATGTAGTAGAAAACCATGACAATATCAACATATTTCGTAGTAATAATCATATATAAAAAGCTGTGTTTCATTTGAGAATTTATCGTTTTAATTACTAAAGCAAGGCATCAATCGTATAAATCGAGAAAGCTATTATAGAAGATGACATTAATTATATAACGGAAATTTAACGTTGTAAGACTACGCAAACTTTCTGAAATCTGAAATGCTGAAATTGATTGAAAGGAAACAAGCTACAATAACAATATACCGATCGGGTAAGATTAGGTGTATATATATATATTGAAGTTTGACGGGGAGCCTAACCTCACTACAAACGTTATGTTTTGATAGACCTTTTATACTGTAGTTGTTGCTTCACTTTACTTTTGTTTCCCATTTTTATCCGTCGGTTACATTACGTTAATGTCCGCTCTTTATAAAGAGGTAGATGAGCTGGAGGATTTACAGTAAGAGACACTAGTAATGTGCTAGTCTTTCTGTAAATACGTTATTAAACATCGATGGGAAAGTTCTCGCTGAATATGATACTCTATCATTTAATAGAGAATCAGCGGCAGCATTAACGACAATTCAACAGAAACATCAGTAACAGCAGCAACAATAAATTAATCCCAGCGGCCGTTCCATTCCAGGCCGATCTCAAAGCAGACCATTTTCAGACTACTGTTATTGCATAGATTAAATTTACGAACACATTTAAGTTTTATTGTGTTATCTATTCTATTTAGATATATTTATATATCTAGCGCATATTTACATATATGCATAGATGTATATGTTTGTGCATGGTTTTTGTACCACCTCTATATGGATAATTACATTTCGGAAAGCTAAAACAAATACCTAGATTCTCATATTTTCTTTATTTTCGGGCGATGCCGTATTTAACCTCCAGGCCATTTATCCACCAGGTACACACCGTGAGAAGAAACAAAAGAAGAACTATCACGATACATTTTTGGGCATCTCCGAGCCTCCCCCTGAACAGCAGAGCGCCCAATCAACGCCATGGGAAGCGGGCCGCCCTGCACCCTCTTTCCTGTTTACCTCGAGTCGGAGCACGAACTTCCCCGTGGACACTTCGAGGCCAAGGGCAGTACCCGGATTTCGGATCTTTGGAGTTCTTTTCTAGGCAGGTGTGGTTGGCGGAGTTAAGGGGGGAGTTCGTGCAGGTTCTAACCTAGTTTGCTGATGATTATCCCAAGTACATGTGTCTGAACGTAGGGCCAGGACAAGTGATACTCAAAGAAAAATAACTGTCACAGGAGAGGAACATAACAAACTGTCACAAGAGAGGAAGGAATGACATTACTCAACCGCATAACTGGGAGAGGCGGACGCGACCACCTCAGGCGCATGCAGACACGTCGTCGCTAAAATAAACATCTTGTGACGTCACCTTACCGGACTACATGGCAGAACATCCGGTAGCCCGCGATGAATCATACGAACACCTGAAAGTATTTGGCAGTTATGTACTAAAGACATCGTTTGCGAGGAAGGCATTTTTGTTTTAATTTATGGACAACACATACACACACATACACTACACACACATATGTGTGTGCATACATACATACATACATAAATATATACATATATGTATGTGCGTACATAAATAGAACCATACTTATACACATATAAACATCCATACATATATATGTAAATGTATTATATGTGTATGCGCGCGCGCGCGTGTGTGCATATATATGTATAAAGACACATACATATACATATATATATATATACGCACTATATATGTAGATATGCATACATATAAATACACACACACATACACTCACACACACATATATATATGTATATATATGTATGTATATGTGTGTGTGTTTATAAGTATGCTTGTATGTATTAATGAATATATGCATGTGTGTATGTATGTTGTTTCAATTGGATGTTTCCGCGTCTTCAGTTGTGATGACTATAGAAAGAAATGATATCTATAATCATTGTATTTACTCATAATAAATAAGTATCCGTATCTTATCCTTATATGAATAAAATATACACTAACATATCTGCAGCTGCTACCTGCCAAGTGAAAATACACTCCCACGCTGTTCACGAGTTTAAGTGGTTAACTCTGCATGTTAAGTCTTGCCTAAGGCCCTGAGAATGCGCAGGGAACGTACATCTTCGGACGTAAGCTTGGGATACCGTAAACCATGTTAGCTGATGACTCTATCTGTGTGTAGCGGAAGGTTTATGAGGAAAGGAATAAAAACAACAATATAGATAAGGTGTAGTGTGGTGGCCGCCAATGTTAATGATAATAGTTGAATAATGATGGTGGTTGAACGAGTTATAGAGAATAATGGTGGTGATACACCGTTAAGGGGATGATGGTGGCAGTGATTTCTAAGGAATCTTTTTTTAACCGTGTATTGCACAGTGGATCGAGTGGTAGGTTCTCTCGCCGTGTTCCGTTGGGATGGGGATGCATGCAATCACGTTCGAAACTCTTGTCAAATGTGCTTCGAATTACGCTTCGAATACCCAGAGATTACGACCCTCGTTCCTCAAGTTTGGAAGGTTTCTTAGCACACGACTATGTCCGTGACCGTATTGTTTATGAATTACATCAATGAGGGCGTTTCCTTGTCTTTTTATGACAGATAGTCTTACATGTACAGCATCTTTTATAATGAGAAAGTGTAACTTAAAATTGTAAAGAAAGATTTATGCGATCAACTGTAAACAAAAAACAAAACAACACAAAACAAAAACACAGAAAATGTAATCACTAATTCTTTGGTTCTGTACTACTTTAATGTGACAGAAAAACAAGTTCATGAAATTTCTCGGGAAGGGCACTACGAGTATGTACATAAATATAAAACATATAAAAAGACGCAAACTGTCATCAACTCTATGTGTCTATTATCGTTATAATCACAGATAACTATTTTTTGTATGACTAATTTTGTGTAATTATATCATATAAATATATTCACACGTCTGTGAACAGAACCAAGAGAAACCGCGCTAGAACACATGATCTCGCAAAGGTACAGCTCTCCTCGCTGCCTTTAACTGGCCACGGCGGTGCTGCAACCCAGGTCGTGACCTTGGCTGCGTCGGGTAAAAGGTCAGCCGAGAAGTATAAAGCTCGCCGGCACTGTCAGCTGGCATCACTCCCAGCTGGCTCTCGTCTGCTTCTCCTCCGGCTCTCGCTCACTCGCTCTCCCTTCGTGATGGCGATGTCTCTGTTGGTCGTCCTCGCCGGTGGGTTCACTGTGACCTGCCTCTTGTCTGTTTATTCTATTTCACTTTTATTGCTTATTCTCTTCGTTGGTTTGGACTTCTCGAATTATTGAAATTGCTTATTTTGCTTGTACAAGAAAACTCTCCATTTTCAGCTCTTTTGGGCGCTTCCTACGCCCAAGTAGGATACAACGTGCCAACTCCCAATGGGCCCGGATATTCCTACGGCGCCCCGGACCTCCAGGCGGCCGCCTCCAGCTTCGACGTCGCCGCAGCCGAGGACCCCATCGCCGCCCTGGCCGCCAACATCCCCGGCGGAGGCGTCCCTGGCGAGGACTACCCCATCCTGGCCTCCGTCCCCGACACCGGCTTCTCCTGCGAGGAACAGCAGTTCCCAGGCTACTATGCTGACACCAGCCCCGGAGGCCGGCTGCCAAGTGTTCCACATCTGCCAGTTCGACGGCCGCCAGGACTCCTTCCTGTGCCCCAACGGCACCATCTTCAACCAGCAGTACTTCGTGTGCGATTGGTGGTTCAACGTGGACTGCGCCGCGTCCGAGCAGTTCTTTGGCCTCAACGCCGACATCGGGAAGGTCCCCGACAACGCGGCCGCCGCCTCCGACGCCTCCCTCGCCACCTCCTACGGCGCTCCTCAGGCTCAGGCCTCAGCCCAGGTCCCCGTACAGGCTCCCAACCAGTTCTACGGCGCTCCCAATGGCTTCTAAGATTTTCCTTTCACACCTTGATTCTGAGGAGATTATATTTTCATCTGCTATAGTATTTATGTAAAAACACTACTTGTCCTTTATTTTCATATTAATAGTATTAGTATCGCTAGTATTTGTATCAGTATTATCACCGTCATTATTCGTCTTTTGTGTACAAACTGCAGAATCTAGATTGCAAAATACATAACAAACTGTAGAGGCAACTTTTATTCTCAACGACACCCAATTAGTTCAAGTGAAATATCCATCGACTGTAATATCAAGTGACACACACGCATAAATGTGTCTGTGTGTTTCCAAAGAAAATTTCTTCAGAGACAGAAAATGATGAAGAAATGCTATCTTATATATCCTTGGAAACCATCTGCACAGAAAAAACACTGTTCAAGAATTTCACAAAAGACAAAAAAAAAAAAAAAAAACTAAGATCACATGATTCAGAAATAACCCTATTTTATGTTAGGCAAAAAGTTAAAAATAATAACAAGGAAAAGAGATACACGCAGGGCCGGATTATCCTTTAGGCTAGTATAGGCTGCAGCCTAGGGCTCCTCAAGCTTGGGGGCCCCAAGCTTGAGGGGCTTGGTTATATAAAAAAAAAAATCTTTCACTACGGTTGTATTGAAATATAGTAAAATAGTGGTATTTAAAGAATATTTTTATTGACAAACAAAAGATAGCTATGCTAGTTTATTTAACAGAATTTGCAATAAGTTTACTTCAAGCTATGTAAATGTCGCTAAAATATATCACGAGTAAAAAATATTCTGAGGGGACCCCATAATTTCGATATTTGATAAGGGTAAGAATAAGGTTAAAAAGTGACTATTATAAAAATGATTGAGCTTTCAATCGAAGCGTTAGGCATGTTACCGTTTGAATTTATTTTTATTTCTTTTTAATTCATCCTTCTATCTAAAACCGTTACAATAGCCTTTTTCCATTTTTTTTCAATTGCTAAGCAACGAAATAGTTTGTAATCTGATATACTGAAAATCCACCGTATGTACGCTACGCCAGTACTGTCTTTTTCCTTGTATAGATAGCTTTCTGCTGATTTCTTTGTAATATTTGTTAATAATACACACACACACGTATATATATGTATATATGTATATGTATATGTGTGTATGTATATAATATATATACATATATATTCATATATATATATATAGAGAGAGAGAGAAAGAGAGATAGATAAATAGAGAGAGAAGAGGGTCAGAAACGAGAAAAGAGATATTGAGTAACCAAAGCCTTTCATTTAGTTTTACGCACTCTTCATGGAATTTACGTTCGTCTTTGGAATTTCCTAAAAAAGAAATGTATTTATGAAAACTGACGATAACCTTGCAAAGACAGTAGAACCATTTAGTTAAGTCCGAATGTGAGCGTTCCCCAAGGATAAAATGTAAAGAATGTGAAAGTTAATGTTGCTTTTTAAAAATGAATAAATAAAAATAAAAATAAAAATAAGAAATAAATAATATATACTGATATGAAACAACAGTAACTGTTTGAAAGGAAAAGCGTTTTATCATTTGATTGGAAGTGTAACTTGACTCAAAATGTCGCTATTTATTTCATTATTATAGCGTTTTTTTCATCGCGTCAATTCTTTCCACTGGTCATTCTTATAACATAAAAGTACAAGAGACGAAGAACATGAACAAAGAGAATGAAATGGAGAACAAGAGACAAGTCAAGAACACCGTCCAGCTTCCCCGAAGATGTTCCCAGTCATGTTAAGTTTTAAAGCATCTTCGTTTCAAGGTCGAGTCGTGTTTTCCCATGATAGAAGGCGAAGCTCGCTTGTCATGCTTTTCCGAAGTACATCGTGCATAAAGCGTGGAAGAGTGTAAATGGCCGAGAGGGTTTTTCCCCTTTATTGTATGATTTGTCCTTTCTATTTTATGAGATTTATCTACTACACACATATATATGTGTATATAAGTATATATATGTATATATACATACATATACATGTACATATGTGGGTATGCATGCATATATTCATATACATATACAAATATTTATGTATATATATGTAAATATATATACATACATATGTATAAAACATACATAAAACAAACTGTATATATGTATATATACATAAAGAGACACACACGATACATATATGTACACAATTATACGTAGATTTGTATATGTATACACAGATACATATATGTGTGTATATATATGTATATGTATATATATATTCACATCCAAAATGTCTATAAAGAACGTAAATTATAATGTCTACTGATGAGACGTGCGTAGACCACAAATCACCACAGAGAAATTGCTGTGTGCAAGAGAGAGCGCAGATGTTAATTCACTCGTTCGCTTGCAGATTGCACTGCCTTGACATTGAGAGTGAGTGGGGGAAGAAGAGGCTGAAGATGGGGAGAGGGAGGGAAAGGGGAGGGGACTGGAGAGAAGGAGAAGGGGGGAACTGATTGAGGGAAGAAGGGAGGGATGAGAGAGAGAGGGAAAGAAGGTCACTAAGGTAGTATATATCTCCTAGAAATTCCAAGCCAGCCACATTCGCTTTGTTCTCCTCTCTCACAATGGCCAAGCTTTTCGTGCTCACGGGTGAGTCTGTGTAAATACCTGTCTTCGAGGCTCAACGATTATGCAAAATAAGTATTCTCTTTGAAAACTACGTCGAAATTCTATGTATGACGTTACTGTTTTGGCATGTATTTACCGTTGTGTACTTATGCTCTGGGGTTTATCAGTATTATAAGGGAGAATGAAATTATATCACACGTCCCGGCTCTCACCACTAATCAGATTTTGCTCTTCATTCAGCAACCTTATTGGCAGTGGCCCGCGCCCAAGTAGGTTACAATGTGCCAACTCCCAATGGGCCCGGATACTCGTACGGCGCCCCGGACCTCCAGGCGGCCGCCTCCAGCTTCGACGTCGCCGCAGCCGAGGACCCCATCGCCGCCCTGGCCGCCAACATCCCCGGCGGAGGCGTCCCTGGCGAGGACTACCCCATCCTGGCCTCCGTCCCCGACACCGGCTTCTCGTGCGGGGAACAGGAATTCCCAGGCTACTATGCTGACACCGCCCCGGAGGCCGGCTGCCAAGTGTTCCACATCTGCCAGTTCGACGGCCGCCAGGACTCCTTCCTGTGCCCCAACGGCACCATCTTCAACCAGCAGTACTTCGTGTGCGACTGGTGGTTCAACGTGGACTGCGCCGCGTCCGAGCAGTTCTTTGGCCTCAACGCCGACATCGGGAAGGTCCCCGACAACGCGGCCGCCGCCTCCGACGCCTCCCTCGCCACCTCCTACGGCGCCCCTCAGGCTCAGGCCTCAGCCCAGGCCCCCGTGCAGGCTCCCAACCAGTTCTACGGCGCCCCTCAGGCTCAGGCCTCAGCCCAGGCCCCCGTGCAGGCTCCCAACCAGTTCTACGGCGCCCCTCAGGCTCAGGCCTCAGCCCAGGCCCCCGTGCAGGCTCCCAACCAGTTCTACGGCGCTCCCAATGGCTTCTAGGACATCCTATTCTTCGATATCTCGATTGTGTAGATTATATTTATATTTATGTTGCAAAATATACAACTGAAAATATTTTAAGTCTTGTTATATAATACATGGCGCTTTATAACAACTATATATAAGATGAATTTTCCCATTCTTCAGAGAAATCCCGTTGTTCAGGTGTATTTTTTTTTAACACGTTTCAACATTTCTTGTATCCGAAAGGAACGTACGTATGATAGAGACACCGAGAGAGAGAAAGGGAGATGGGAAAATAAAAAGAGAGAGAAGAAAGAGATAGAGAGATATATCATAAAGAAGCGTTTTTCTTTCTCATTTTAAATTTCGTTTTGCCAACGAAATGGAAATCGTGACTCAGTACCCAAAACTACAAATTGAAAAGGTACAAGCGCATAATATCATGCACTTGACCAAATATGTGGAAATATCCAACATAAGGACATTTATCACGAAGTTAAGAAATGATTTTTCTTTTATGTTGTTACCTTTTCCAATTCTCTTATTTCTTCATCATCAGAACAACTTAACGTAATGAAAACCAAGAATGGATATCGTAGAAACACGTTATTTCGTTTTATTTTTCTTGATGATTACAATGATGGTTATGATTATTATTCCAGTTATTCATTATTACGATGAAAAAAATTATGTTTTTTTTCACTACTTACTTTCGTATATACATATTATATTCGTGTCATCACCGTCGCGGTGTATGACGAACTACTGGGCGCCGTGTCGACCTCGTGTAGTGGACTGAGTGTGGAGACTTGGAGACTGGGGTGGCTGACCAGGGATCCTTCCACAGGGGAGGAGCTGGTTAGGTGATCATTATTGGTGGTTGTCACCCCTTACCCAAATCCGCATGCAGATATATATACACACACACATATATATATATATATATTTATATATATGCATATATAGATATATACATATATACGTATGTATATATATACATATATATGTATATAAATATACACACAAACAATACATATAGATACATATATGTATATATGTATGTATATGTATATATACATATATATATATATATATGTATATATATATATATGTGTGTACATATATGTATATATGTACATATATGTATATATACTTATAGATGTATATATAAATGAAAAAAAAACATACACACACATATATATACATAAATATATGCATACATATATCTAACTTTCTATCTCTCTATTCATATGTGCACATGTGTGTATAGAATATACTGTGTATAGCTAGCTAGATATTGATATAGATATACATATCTATGTGTATATGTATATAGATGTATATAGATATATATACACATATATATACATATATAAATATATATATTTACATCTAACTTTCTATGAACCGTATTCATGTTGACAAATGTAGAAAGGTATATTTCTGACGAAGATATAATCTAAACCGGTTAAATACATCTCTTGTATTGGGAAGATATTCATTCTTATTCATACCTTTTCTACTAACTTTCTATCTCTCTATTTATATGTAAATATATCTGTATAGATAGGAATATAGTTAACATAGCTAGATATTGTTATATTTGTGTGTGTGTATGTGTGCGCATAAACACACACACATAGATATGTATGTATGGATATATACATATATATGTATATATACATATATATATGTATATATATATATATGCATATATACATACACCTGTATGTGCGTGTATACATACATGCACACACACACACATACATATAAATATACATATATTTATATATAGAGAGTATATAAAGTATAGTGTGTCTGCGAACGTGTATCAGGCGTATCCTAGTGCACACGTAAACGTGCGTAGAAAAATGTAAATCTGTCGGCAGCCTCGCATTGCCATGAATGAGCGAGTAGAATTAATGACGTCAGTAAGTAACCTTGGCCGTGAAAGTGAGAGGCCGAGGGGGGTGGGGGCAGAGGGGCAGGTTTACAAGGTCGTAAAATTAGTATATAGATGCCGAGATGCCCACTGTCTCTACACTCACCTGTCAGTCCGCACTCAGGCAGCTTCCCTCAGACTCATCTACAATGGCTAAAGTTCTGCTTTCCATCGTTGTGGGTTAGTGATGCTAGAGAAATAACACTTCTTTTTATATTTATTTTGCACAAATAATTAATATATGATATACCTTTTTGTACTGATTCGGCTCTTTTCACCAAAAGCCATGTTAGGAGTGGCCCACGCACAAGTGGGTTACAACGTGCCAACTCCCAATGGGCCCGGATACTCCTACGGCGCCCCGGATCTCCAGGCGGCCGCCTCCAGCTTCGACGTCGCCGCAGCCGAGGACCCCATCGCCGCCCTGGCCGCCAACATCCCCGGCGGAGGCGTCCCTGGCGAGGATTACCCCATCCTGGCCTCCGTCCCCGACACCGGCTTCTCCTGCGAGGAACAACAGTTCCCAGGCTACTATGCTGACACCGCCCCGGAGGCCGGCTGCCAAGTGTTCCACATCTGCCAGTTCGACGGCCGCCAGGACTCCTTCCTGTGCCCCAACGGCACTATCTTCAACCAGCAGTACTTCGTGTGCGACTGGTGGTTCAACGTGGACTGCGCCGCGTCCGAGCAGTTCGTCAGCCTCAACGCCGACATCGGGAAGGTCCCCGACAACGTGGCCGCCGCCTCCGACGCCTCCCTCGCCACCTCCTACGGCGCTCCTCAGGCTCAGGCCTCAGCCCAGGTCCCCGTGCAGGCTCCCAACCAGTTCTACGGCGCCCCTCAGGCTCAGGCCTCGGCTCAGGTCCCCGTGCAGGCTCCCAGCCAGTTCTACGGCGCTCCCAATGGCTTCTAGAATACACAGCAAAATCCCTAAGGTCTCAGATCAGTGATTTAATGTCTTATAAGTTCACATAGAATGACCATTATTTTTGTACCATAATATTTATTTTAGAATCTGTAAATGCACTGGAATATAACATCAAACCTTAGTTTTAATATAACACACACCCAAGCGTTAGAAAACGTGGCAGTATAATAAATTTTGATGTTATGGACGTTTACTGTATCACGTGAGAGTGCAAACAAACGAAAGGAGGATACTGAACGGTACTAGAATGCACAAAACAGGAACATACTCAAGACTGGGACATTAAGAGAAAACAGGTTTAAGTTGCCCATGGCTTATTCCTGATGAGAAGGGAAATGGAAATTGTGAATAACAATATGCATAGGAGAGAAAGAAGGCGTCAGGAAGAACAAAATCACACAAGAACGCATATACATTAAACAAGTATATGAACATACTGTGAAGTATATCTATTGACCAGTCTATCTATTATTCATTTCCATGCATATCTCTCTCTTTCTCTCTCTCTCTGCCTATTTTTCTGTCAGTCTAGCTATCTGTCTATGCATCCATTCATCCATTCATCTACCTATCTATCTGTCTGTATATTTATTTATCTATCCATATACATATGCATATATATACATATATACATATATGTACACACATGCATATAAGTATACATACATGTATACATATATATAGAAAATATATGAATGAGAATGAATATCTTCACAATACAAGACATGTATTTGACCGGTTTCGATTATATCTTCGTCAGAAATAAATGATTCATGTTTTTCTGACGAAGATATAATCGAAACCGGTCAAATGCATCTCTTGTACTATGAAAATATTCATTCTCATTCATACCTTTTATACATTTGTCAACATGAATACGATTCATATATATATATATATATATATATATATATATATATATATATATATATATATATATATAAACACACAAACACATGTGAGTATATATATATATATATATAGCTATCTATCTATCTGCATATCCATATCTATATCCATATATCTACATATATCTATCTATCTATATATATTTATCGATTTAGCTATCTCTTTATCTATCTATCTATCTATCTATCTATCTATATATATATATGTGCGTGTGTGTGTGTGTGTGTGTGTGTCCGTATGTGTCTGTATTTGTATGTGTGTGTGTGTGTATGTGTGTGTGTATGTGTG